ATGACTACAAAAACTAGAAACATGTAGATATTAGACTACATATCATATGACATGTAGGAGATCAGCAAAATATAAAAGCTAGCTTTGTATTTCTCTTAATTTCTTTCCATGTATCTCATTGTTTAAAAAGAGGTTTCTACAGTCCCTTAGAGTGTTTTTATGAGCTCTGAGACGATCTGTGGCAAAATCAAATTAATTTTGGGGGATTTGGAACAATTATGGATGACCTGAAAATGGTTTAACGTAAAATAAAATAATTATAACCCATTTTCATTCTTATAAATTTTGAAATAAATAGCAATAAATATACTGAAAGAAAGTTTTGCGTCCGGAGTAAAACAAGAAAAATTATGGCCTTTTTTTTAGAAATAAACTATGACTGAGACGAAGAAAAAAATGCTGATGTTGTTCAACATTAGGTTAGTTTTGACTACTTAAATTATAGCTTTGTTCCATTACTACGGTATAGACCTTTGTGTCTCCATGCAAGAAAACATTGTTAAACGAATCAGTGAAGTTTAAGTAACATTTGACAAATGCCCGCAGAGACATAAAATATATATTTGGGTTTTTAAAAAACAGTCAACGAATAAAATTTGAAAGTACCATCATTGTGACAACATTTAAGCGTGATGGCGATGGAGTCCGTGCTTCATATAACAGTTTTTTACTGACTGTCAGGAACGTAGTCAGGAATCTGAGACCACTGGTGAAGAACTTATTCTACCAGCTGTAATTGAAATCTTATGCACCGTCTGCAAGAAATCATCTTTCTATCTTCTAAGAATTCCAATCACTAATAATACATTACAAAGAATATTAGTGGAATAGCTTAGTACGTAAAAATTTCTTAAGCACTTAAAAACATCTGAATTTTCCATGCAGCTTGCTTAGTTAACCTTGCCAGGAAATGAACTTTCAGTTTCAGCTTATGTGAGATAAAGAAGAGATAATTTATAAAAGATTTATATTAATTTATAAAATTTATAAAAGAAGAGACAATTTCGCATGAAATGTTATTTGTCAAGTATTTGGAAACTGATATGTTAAGAGAAGCAATAAATAATAAATTAATAGGGGTTTTAAGAAGTAAAAGCTATAATCCGTGAGTAATATCCTCTCCGTTGCTAGTGGCGTTGCTCCAGGAATGATAGAATGACGTCGAAGTTTTCTGCCATGCTTGTAACAAGCTATACCGAAGCTATATCTACACACTTAGGATGCTAAAATCTTGGCAACCGATTGCATAACTCACTAGAATATGTCATTAGAGCAGTTAATAAAGTCAAATTAAGTACTCTAAAGGTGAGATCCGTTATTTAGCTACGTTTGGAAACTAATAAAGCTTTTACTACCGTTTACTGTTTAACACGGAAGTTCATCTAACGTCCATGTTTGAAATGATTTTACACACGCTTTGATCAGTGTTGGAAATTAAAAACAATAACTGACATATATGACTAACTTATTTGCCAGATTCAGGGAAGACAGTTAGAAGCTGCACACAGATCAATTAAATTTAATTAAGACTAAAATAAAATAACTGCATTTATGGTTAAATTTTTTATATAAGCAAACCTAAGACACAAGAGAATGCTCTCAGTAGCCACATCTTCAAAACTGCAAAAACGAGATGAAAACCTGTTTTCTTAGAAGTTATTTCTCTACCTTCTTGGCGTACCTTCGTGGTGTGGTGTTTCTGCACACTGGGCCGGTATTCAAGAGGTCCGTGCTTCAATTCTCGGCGAAGGCAACTGCTCATTTTTCACCTTGCCTGCTTCCAAAAAATACCTAATGTTTCTACATGCTTATTGTCAACACTTAACGGCTCTTCATTGTGACCTCTGCAAGATTTGACTGCATTCTTCACTTGACTAATCCGGATTGGGTGTTAGATTCCTTCTCCAAGTAGACTTACAAACTCAGATGAGTCAATACTAATACAGGAGCAATTACTTAAATTATCGTTAAACGAGGTGCTGATACTAATGTTTAAACCGCAAATTCTGGTTACAAAAACAGATACCAATTTTATATCTTGTATTGTGGGTCCTTTTGTAGAATACATGCGGGATTGCTTTCCCGTAATTTTTTATTTAGTAGGACGTGGATGTAGTGCAGTTATGAGCCTCATAAAAATGAGATTAGTTGGAAGTTAGTGCTTGTGGAGACTTAACGACTGTTGCTCACATGAATACAGAAGAATACTAATAATCTCTTCTGATCCCAACAGGTTCACCCATCTCACTGAAAACAAATATAGTATATATTTTTATGTATTTTAAAACAAAAGTTTTCAATTTCAATGAATGCTATTTTGATTATTAAAATGTTTTATTTATATTCTATTTTTAGTCATCATTTATCATTCAAGACACCAATGTTTAGTTTTTAATTTTTCTGGAGTTACATAGAGTTATTTCACTTGGTGGCTCTTGTTCAGAAGTGTTATCAGAAGTTGTTATCAGTTGTTATCAGAAGGTTTCCATGCGTTAAGCAAGTTTTGGAATCACTGATGTATCTTAATATAAAATAGATGCACAAAATGTGGCATTTCTAAACCTTATAAATACAATATTGTGAAAAGTGTACTCTGTGTTTTCTATGTACCATATTTATTCGCATATTTACAGCCTAGTTTTTTAACGCCAGGCTCTGAACATTTTTTAAATATTCCCATAATTCTTTCCTTCTTCAGTGTATTCAGAGAACTAGATACCCAAAATTTTAAAACGAATTTTAAATACATAACGATTATTTTCGTGTCACTAATAGACATATCTCCGCAAACTACCGCGAAAGTCACACCAAATGTGTTCCTTCTAGATACTGAACATTAAACTAGCCTAGTACAAGAACTGACCCATCACATCGTAGTAATCTGATGTTCAGTCTATGATTTCTCTGAGCCAGCTGTATATTTATTTTCTGCAATTATTTATGAATGATTTGAGATTCAAGTAGTAACAGAGACAACGATCCGAACGGGAGAGATTAGGTTACAGAGAAGTAGAAATGAAGATATTACATATCGTAATGCTAATACTAACGTGCATTGTTATTGAAATGTATGTTTCTTTTAAAGAAATGATATTGTGATTATTACCTGCAGTTTATTCATGACCATCTTCCTTTGTTCTGTTCTTCGCGTTCTTCGCAAATTAAATTTTCCTTCTCAATTTTCAGATTATAAAATTAATACAAAAGGGGGGAAATACCCTAAGAAATATAGTGTTTAAAGAAATTACAAGCATCTATTAAAAATACATGGGTCATGTTTCCGTGAAATACGTAAGGTCTTAGCAAATAAATTTGTGATTGAAAAATGATAAAATTTCGAATTAGAATCACACTGCAAGACGTTATTAAATTATACACTGCTTCTAAAATATATATAACTTTTATTCTCTTAAGTCTTAAGGGAACTCCAAATCTAACTTTGATCTCCACAATGAGATTCTCTCTCTAGAATCAGTTCTCATTAAGTTCCATTAATGTGAGGCGCTGTTTTACCATGAAAGCAGAATGGATGAAACGTATATGCGAACTGCTTAAGCATGTAAATATGGAAGATAAATGGATTGTTTGAATAACATAGTGGATATAATGTGGTCTAAAGGACTGTACGTTATTAATGATACCAAAATCTTCGCTTGTAAAAGGAGTGGTTTCTTCTTTTACGGCTCCTGCCAGCCCGATTCCACAAAGGAAAGACGCGAATAAATGTTACTGACAAAAGTGCTGTCTAAGGAAGGCATAATATGGAAAGGAATGACTTTAATATATGCTTAAAATGAGATACATACATATTTTATAAATGTATTTATGGATTACTGAATGCTACAATTTTCAAGCAGATAAAATTGTTGTATTTAGTTAGTTTCACTAAACGTTCGATTCCCACGTAAAGAATCTCGCTTCAGGATAGTTGCATAGTTCCCCATAATTAAGAAGTGAATAGGAGGTATTTCATCTTTAAAATCAACTAGAAAATTTTTATTTATCATTGCACAAATAAATTCGTTAATAGAACCACCTATCTTCTACTATTTAGTGTCTTACCTTATCAGCTATGATTTTAGAGACACAACATAGCTGTATATTAGATATTGAATGAAATATTACAAAACATGATCACTTACTTACATTATCAGTTTAAACAGAATAAAAGCAACAATATATATAACATTTGAAATCTAATAATTTAATACATTTAAATACTGTAATTCATAAGGAAGATAATTTCTAGTAATTACTCTTCAAGGCTATAAAACTTTATCAAAATCGAATTACAATCAAGTGTAAAATTTTAATAAAAATAAATAAGTTTGTAATTATTTACATACAAACACTGGTATTTTGCTTTATGCGTCGAAGAAAAATTTTAAAAATAACAAAAAGAGACTATCAGTTATTATTTATTCTTTTGTCCCACTATAAAAAAATTATAATACTTATTTTTAGAATTCATAGATCTTTAATTATTAAATAACGTACGCTAACTTAGAGTATGTTATTTAATGATTAATTGAACATATTACAATTATTTGAAAGAAATATCAGTCTGAAAATTTAATATTTACTCGTCAATATACTTGAATTAGAAAGCGTAACAAAAAAGTGACTCGCAACTACCAAATTTATAATTTCAAATAGAAAATAAATATCCATTTCAATTTACTTTTTCATTTGCGATATTGTTATTACTGTTTTAGTGTGTGCTTTGATAACTATTTAGTAAGCGAAGTTTAAAATTTATTTAAAGCATTTTTTATTTTGTAGATGAAAATTTTTATTAAAATTTAAAAAACATTCTGGACCGTATATTGTTTTCAGATCTTGCATTCGGCCCTCATGAAGTTTAAGTACATTGCAGTACGGAAGAGCACTACTAATTTGAGATTAAGTGCAGGCTAAGCATTCTGTAAATATAAAATTCATTCTTCATAAAACTATCGATTCTGTCTTGAAAATAAACAGTATCGTTTGAGAATATTCACCTAGAATCTTGAGACGGATATAATGAATGAATGTTCGGGACCGCCTGAGATCTACGCGGCACTTGTAGTCCCCTTGATCCGACTTCCGGATAGGATATATTTTGAGCAGGGGTGGGTGGACACTGATGTCGAAGTAGGCTCTTCCCTCCATCTCGGGGCTGGGAAAATGCCTGGCTTTCTTCAAGGCGACTTTTCTGATGTCGAGAGTATAAATGGGGTTGGGAAGATCCTCTCGATACCAGAGGATCAACGAAGCTGCATCGTCTGCTAGAGGTGTGGAGATATTGCATGGCAATGTAGCCATCTCCCCAGATACCGCCAGGAATTCCGGCCGACCTAAAACGAAGAAAGAAAAATGTCTCATAAGAACATTATTGTTTTTCTTAATATGAACGTGCATGATGAATTATTGGCATTAAAACATAAATGTTCAATAATATTAATTAAAATGTATATACAAGGTCAGTCGGTTAGTCTTATCCGAAAGTTTAATCCTTCTTTAAAGTAAAGAGCAAGATTTTTTTTACTTAAAAACAAAACAAAACAAAAAAAAAAAAAAAAAAAAAAAAAATGCCTGAAAGGTTTCAGGTTTTAAATTACGTCCAAAGGGACGCTGTATTAACATTTTTGTGCTACCTTTATTTATTAAATATCATGTTCTTCGCAGTTAAACCATAAAATTCAGTTCAAGAGCAATATCGCAAAATAATTTTAAAAGCAGCTTATCTTTAGAATTTCCGATACAAAGTCTCGCGCGCTGGAATTAAAAATGTTTTTTCTGTACAACGTTGCCATTGATAGATGTGAAATCCTTGAGTTTGTTAATCAAAATTTCATTAAATTTTTACAAAGTATGAAATCGATAATAAAACAAATTCCAAATTTCAAATTTGAATTCTCATATGCCCATATTCGCAGGAGGATTACATTATTCAAAATTTGAATCCTCTAGGTACCGTTGTTTTATCAAAGTGCGAGAAACATACATATATTTACGCAGATTCTTCATTATTTAATTTCCTTAAAGGAAGATAATATTCGGTGGCAACAATTTGAAAAGTGAAACAACGCTTGTATTGAATCAACACAAAATGCTAAAGGAAATTAACAGTCCTTCTGGGCAAATTGCCCCTTTGGACTAAAAATTGCGAACTTATTTTTCATTTTTACTAAATGTTTAAAAAAATTAATTATAATAAAATCTGAAGAGTTAAATTCTATTCAGAAAAATTTCAAGGGGACCTTTTTAAATTCAACTGCTTTGTTCAGAGCATTTTGCCTCTAGGTGAGTTCGTTTTCACTAGATGGTTATGCAAACTAAGTGAACTTTGTAGGATTTAGAGTAAAAGCATCGGTAATCAATATTAAAATAATTTCATGGTTAATTTTTTTAATTTATCAAAATTCTTACGATTCTCAGTGGACGTTTTACATCCTTCTGGCTTGAATCGGAACTTCGTAGTCATTCATTATAGTTGAAACCTCTATAATAGATATTTTATCTGTTTAATTTCTCAGCCTTAATATTATATATATATACTAACTTATTCTCAGTACAGTTAGTATATATATCGGTGCTATTGTACTTATTTTCTCTAGAAACTAAAACATTAGACATAGTTTCTCTAGAAAACACTTCATTACGCACAGATTCTGAGCAAATTTGCAAAAGAATATGCTTACCATTTTTTTTTTCTTTTCAATTAAATAATATAAATAAAACTGCAAGACAGTTATGCCAATGTAAACTTAAAATTACGCATAGAAGAAACTTTTTATTTTTTCCTAAGTTTTGAATAAACGTCTATTAACTGCTCACATGTTGCTGTGGTAAAAAAGCTACTATGTGTGCAAAATAAGCAACATAGAAATTACGGAGTCTCTCGAGCCATAGATGAAATGGTGACCGATAAGTGCTGTGGTGCGCTCGAGTCGATCAACGTTTTACAGTGAAGCAGAGTACTGCAAAAATGAACCAAGGACTCCTTCAAATTTCCCACAGGAAGAAGTAGCGATCCTTACTGCGCGCAGGCCTTTCCTTCAGACGGTTTGGATCAGTGCTTATGTTGTCGCTGTCCATTGACGGAAAATTCCAGAATCCGAACATTAGTATCAAATATGGACCTCAAATGATTGGCAACCCCGCTGACTGACAAAACGTTGCCATCAGTAGAGAAACCGTATTTTTTTTCCATTATCGGATGAATAGACTTGGCGCATACACAGCAATAAACATCGAAGAATAAACACCTCGCAACCATTTTCGAAAGGATGGAAACTGGCGGAGGGAATATTATAGTCTGGGGAAGGTTTTCGTGCATTCTCTCTGCTTCCACCGTAGCTCACAAAAGGTAAATAGTTGCAGACTCACAAAAGTACAATGTAAAAGTACATTATGGTTGGTTTCATCTATGTGTGGTGTTAATAAGAGCCAATTTCCTTTATACATTCCTCCACCCAAGGCATCCGTTTAATTCGGCAGATTTCTTGTGTTTTGCCATAACTAACAAAATGAAAGATCGGACATCTTTGATTTTTATTTTTATTTAAATGAATTAAATATTAAAATGCAAGGTGTTAAGACGACATTTACTATCATGCTTCATTTAAGGCAAATATTCGAAAGTAAATTGAGCAAATTCGTCACGCAATAATCAATATATTGAATAGTTTCAAAATACAGAAAAAATGTTTTCACAAATCTATGATTTCATGAAATTCAATTTTAGTTTTATGAAAAATATGGATTCGGTAGTCGTACAGTCAACAACGAATGATTTGCTTTAAGAGTTAAATAGTGCAGATCGTTTCCAGAAATAATAAAATTTATACTTTATTCAAGCTGCAATAAAATATAAACTGTGCATTACGATATTTTTTAAATCCTAATCTTGGTGAAGTATAAATTCAAGAAACGTATAGTTTACTCTTATTTGGAAACACAGTTTTGCCTTTTAGGCATATTTCTCGGAAGTAACTCAAAAGAATCTGTCATAAGATGCAGTTATAAACCGTCAATAAGGGAGAAGATACCAAATTTCGAGCCTAGTCCGCTAAATCTCTAATTAATTAGAAAATAAAAGTGTTCAGAAATTACTCTTAAACACATGCTTATAGGCATACTTCCTTTTACGCTAGGCGGGTGAACGACTGCAGACCGACATTATGTTCTGATTAATGATTTTAAATGCATTGCAATAAATTCTACAGGAAAGATTCTTTCTCATGCACTTTAAGTCATCAGTTATAAAAATGCTTCATTAGTAAATATTACAAGATATGCTTATGTTACGAAAAGCATGCAGATAAAAAGGTTTAAAAATTTAAGCAGAAAGTTAGTCTAGAATAAAACACAATTACCTAATTGTTTTCGTTTAAATATATGTACATGGATGAACATATTGTATAACTGATACATATGTATATAGCAAAAATGAGAAATTTTGCCCAAATTGATATTTGTAGAAACAAATCAAAATTGATAAAGCAAGGAATAATTTTAGTATTTTATGAAAAAATATTACAATTATCTTATTGAAAAAAACCTCCATAATTCAACGACGTATGAAATTTGTTTAAGTAAAGAAAGAACAATAATCAATAAAAATTTTTGCTTTAAAAGAAATGGAAAATCCTCTTTTTACTGCAAACAATAGATTTGTTAGTTTATATGCAATTCCAAAATTTTATAAAAATCATCTTAAATTTAGATGAATGCAAATACAAATAGTAAAAGAAACTATAAAAAGAATTTTGATTATATTTTCACAAACATATTTGAATTAATACGCAATGTAATTTTTGATAAAGCAAGTACTCATAAAAAATCTAAATTTTGCAATTCAGTCAACTGTTATAACTTTTAAACTCTCTACAGGTCTCTCCTAATTAAATAAATATTTGAATGCCTTCTTGAACTACCATTTTTTTTCCTTGACATGCTTTCTATGCTGTATTTGCAAAAATGGAAACATTATCTCTATTTCTGGCTTTTCAATAACTTTATCAAGCATGCAAATATTATTTACTTACAAACAAATGGTATTCCAATGGTTCCAACTTTTTATTCAGCTCTGCTATGTTTTCTAACTACTTGTTTTCTATTCTACTTGTTTTCTAAAGAATTTCTTGTTTCTACTCTACTTGTTTTCTAAAGAATATAAAGTTCCTAAAAACCTTTCAGAAGATGATTTAAAAAATGGTCCTATTTCAGACATATTGGTAATATTATTACCTTCAACAATAATAATCTTATTGGAATAAGCAGCATCTACTCGAACTTCAAAAATTGAACAAGACCAATGAAATCAGTTAATTGTTCATTATCCAAATCTTAGAATATATAATCTTAAAAAAATAAGACTGTTTGATAAAAGAAGAGAATTTATTTTTTTTACAATTAAATTTATAAATTGGAACATCAACATATCTAAAAAGTTATATCTAATATAATTTTTAACCAAATTACTAGAATTAAAAACGTTTGGACATATGTTGAACAACAAACACAAGAAACAATTCTTCTTACTAAAATTCTACAAAAGAATAAGTTTCCAAACTTCATTAACTGTCTTCTAAGGAAAGCTGGAGTAGTCTACACCCCTATAAAAATTTTAAAGTAATGAATTTTTAGCTCTAATAAAAAAGGAAGTTTTAGAAGGTAAACGTTTTGGAATAGACACAATTAATGTGCCAACTTGTTTATGGCCGCAACGTGTTTTTTGAAATAAAAAATGAAGATTTAATCTGCCTTCGCCTCTAATTTCCTAAACGCTGAAAGATTAACAGGACTCTAAAAATTAAATTTAATTTGAAAAATTGATATTTAAAAATGATTTATTTATTTAATTATTGTTGATTAACATTTTATAATTTACGTTTTTCTTCATTTCTAGCGCTGCAATGCTTTCTTCTAAAAGAGCTTTTCTGTCGCCAAGCCTATTTCTCTTTGGAGGGGGGGGGGCTATGCATGATAAAAAATATTTAAATTAAAATTATAATTTAAACTAAAGGTAACCCTTTAATTCTTCTTCTCTGTTTTAAAAATCATAATAATAACGTCTCTGGATTGAGGCATTTCTTGATCATTCCATCTTGCATGGCCTGCGAAACGCTGATGATGTAACTCTTGGGAACTGAACCTTTTCTAACCTAAACCAAAACTTTTCTTTAAACAGCCTGCCCTATTGGATAAATGCGCCACTTTCAGCTTGAACTTCTGTGTTGCTTGGTCGCTGTTTTTTTGTACTCACTTCCTATCGCAATAATAATAATAATAATCGCAATTATTTCTATCGCAATGTGCTTGAATAGGCACGACTAGAGTGTCAA